TTTTATAACACATTATAAGGGTATTCTTAAGGCATTATAATGAATGCATAATGCATTATATATAAAATAATAATATGTTATGTTGTTTCATCTCATAAATAATCATAACAACAATTATAATACATTATATAACTTACTTATTTGTGGTTATAACTTTTATGAGTATGATTATTTATAACACACAATAAATTTACAGTGCATTATAAGTCTCATATCTTGACATTATTTATTTAAGATCTGCACAGTATCTTACTGATATTACAATAAATATAGTTAAAATCAAATGTGCCATATTACACATTCAGATATCTGATCTTATGGCTGTATAAGAAAAAATATTAGTATTGTCATTGTTGTTGTTATTATTTATAAGTGGTCTTTGTCTATTTTAAGTAGAGTAACGAGTTAACAATGGCAAGATATGATACTTATAATACATTATAACTATGAGAAATATAATCCATTGTAAGTTAAGTGGATGCATTGTGTTCATTGTTTATTATAAATCATCATAATCTTAAAAGCTATAACCACAAATAAGTAAATATTGTAATGCATTAAAACTGTTGTTATGATTACTCATGAGATGATACAACATACTGTATAATACGTTTTTTTATAATTCATTATAATGCCTTAATAATACTCAATAATACATGAACGTTGGATTTGTTTCTTACAAACACACAGCTTTTGTCTTCTCCAGATGTTAACTGATGGACTGGAGTGCTGTGGATTATTGTGATGTTTTTATCAGCGCTCATTCTGACGGCACCCATTCACTGCAGAGCATCCATTGCTGAGACACTGATGCAGTGCTATATTTCTACAAATCAGTTTTTGGGGGAACTATTCCTTTAAGTCATACACTGATGCAAAGCCAAACTACTTTTGCAAGAATATGACCAGATTTATAGACCAAAAGGGCAATTATTTTACCCTATGTTTTCTCTTCTCTTCTGTGTCTTGAAGCATTTTCTCCTTCCACAAGTCAAAGAAATATGAGGGGTCTGTGTAGAACTTAATTCCATCAATATGGTCATCCCTAGATAAAACAAACAAAACATATTTACACACAATAAATGTCTTATTATTAAAGAAGAAGAAGAAGAAGAAAGCAGACCTGTAGGCAGAGAGTATGTTCAGAGGTGGAGGTGTGTCGCTGGTGATGTACGTCTCTGTGATTGGTTTAGGATGCTGCTCTTCGTCACCGCCTGCTGGTCTTGAACAGTAGAGCTCTGAAAGTCTGCCTGCTTTATATTATCTAAGATTTTAATATTTTTGGGGTTAACAATTTGTGTCATGGACTGTGATGACACGTTTAAATTGACATTTCTTTATATGTCAATTTATTGTTAACCCCCAAAAATTCATCTTACTCTTTTTGAAAGTCATGAAAACACTATCGTGGAGTTTTTCTTTTGCTATTTGAGCAAATGGGAACGGAAAAAAAAGTATATATATATATATACATGATGTGGTCTCCAGTTCACTGCTATAGGAGTTTGAAAAGAAATGTGAAAAGTTCCACTGTAGTTCCTTTCAACACACTTACTATGTTTAAATCAATGGTACAAATTTATTTATACCTTAAAATAAGTATGTAAATAAATAAATAAGGGCATTAAAAAAAAGGTTCATATGTGTCCCTGGAGCACAAAAGCAGTGTTAAGTCGCTGGGGGATATTTGTAGCAATAGCCAACAATACATTGTATGGGTCACAATTATACATTTCTCTTTTATGCCAAAAATCATTAGGATATTAAGTAAAGATCATGCTCCATGAAGATATTTTGTAAATTTTTTTGCACCCTCAGATTACAGATTTTCAAATATTGTCCTCTCCTAACAAACCATACATCAATGGAAAGCTTATTTATTCAGCTTTCATATGATGCATAAATCTCAATTTTGAAAAATTGACACTTAAGACTGGTTTTGTGCTCCAGGGTCACAAATGATCAAAGACAACTTACTGTAGGAATTCTGGGAATGTCAGATGAAAAGATCACATCATGAAAAAATATACCAAAGAAAGGGGATGCAGAGGTCATTTTTGACCCACATACTGTTAGGTCTAGCCTGGAATATCCTGTTAAATAAGCATCCCATGTCTGGTAACGTGCATGTGATCTTTGACTTGTGACCTCTGACTGACCTTCCTCCACACTAGAATCCAACTGAGTGACCTTGACTGCAAGACGGTCTGTACGGTCCTGAAGAGAATTAGCACGCAGGTAGAATGCATTGGCTTCATTAAAGAGTTCACCAAACACGTCCTCTGCGTGTTTGCCTATAGTAGATGAGCAAGAACGACTGGGGATCAGATCTGAGCTTTTAAAACAGTCAACATCTCAACGTCTTCAGTTAACGTCTTGTGAAGTGAAAAGCTGCGTGTTTGTAAGAAACAAATCCATCATTGAGGTGTTTTAACTTTAAGCTGTTGCTTCTGGTCAAAATGCAATAATAACGCTTCCTCCGGTGAAAAAGTGCATCTCCTGTTGTCTCTCACAACTAAATCCAGCCACATGTTTGTTTAGAGCTGTTTTGATCTGTGCAGATTTCTCTCTTGACTTTTTTAGGAAGCAATATTATCCATAAAGGACTCTTTTAGCTGGAAGCAATGGTTTGAAGTTAAAAACATCTTAATGCTGGATTTGTCTCAGCTTTTGTCTTCTCCAGATGTTAACTGATGGACTGGAGTGCTGTGGATTATTGTGATGTTTTTATCAGCGCTCATTCTGACGGCACCCATTCACTGCAGAGCATCCGTTGCTGAGACACTGATGCAATGCTACATTTCTCCAAACCTGATGAAGAAACACACTCATCCTAATCTCGGATGGCCTGAGGGTGAACACATTTTCAGCAAATTTTCATTTTTGGGTGAAGTATTTCTTTAATTTCACTTGCACCAATCGCATCTCAGCATCTGGAGCGTTCTTAAACCTCTGAGAACCAACACGATGCATGCATAATTGCAAACACGCAGTCATGTGTGGATAAGGAGAAGGTGGGACATAAACAGTCAAAGATTGTTTATAGCTTTCAAACATGTAGATCAAAATATATAGTTTTTGTGTGCATTTTGCTATTGGACATGTTCTCACAAAAGGCCATTGTGCGTCAAATGAATGTACCCCTGGGGAATAACTGCACATTTTAAATAGCTTATTAGTAGGCAAGACTTTAAAGTATGTGTCTACACACTCTAAGATAACTCTACACTGATAAGAGCTAAGAAGTGTGGCAACCAGCTCTGGACTTTCCTCTTCAAATAGTCTATTAAAGCAAGCAAGCAAGAATAAAAAGAAATGCATAGTATTTTCTTGAAATGTATTAATTGCTTTGTTATTAATGTTACCGTGATTAGCCTACTGTTGTGGTTATTTTGCCAATTTTAGTATTTATAGCTCCTTTGATTCTCCCACTATTGTTGTGCTGATCCATCATCTGTATTTGCCCTGCAGTAATAACTGGGAAGAAGAGTCCAACATTCATATATTTAAGTGCATCCTGTGGGTATTTAAAGTGCACTTTTAAACAGTGTGTAAACAGCATGGCATAGTGCAGAAGATGTGATGCAGCTATCCTTTCACAAGGAAAAACT